AGAGAGAGAGAGAGAGAGAGAGAGAGAGAGAGAGAGAGAGAGAGAGAGAGAACAAAACCAAACTCTGTGAGAATCACCTGTGGAAGTCCTTGTACTTGAGCACATTCTTCCCGTTACGGCCAAAGAAGTGAACCAGCAGTGTGGTGTCGGGGATCTCCGTGTTCAAATCCTGCACGACGACAGCGGACATTGTTCTCAAACGTTTCACACCACTTTAAGGTACACAGGTCTACTACAGGAATCTAATTCCAACCCTTCGCTACATCATTCTGATCTTTTCGAACTTCAATCATTACAATTTTCTTTAACTGCTGAAAACAAATTTCTCTTCTACGAGAGAACAAAACTGCGTACGTCATCAGTTGGAATACGTATAAAATATTTCATTACCCATCTTGTCATTTATTAATTACATCTTTAAACCTTTAAGACCTCTTCCCTTAACTCCCCCCCCCCCCCCCCGCTCTCCTGCACAGCAAGGATGATAAAAACCCCAGCAAAGATAAGACAACCATCTTTGACCTGAACAATTTCCACAACAGCACGGATGTGCCCATCCAGTCGAACAACTTTTACCTACATTCACACCAGATTTATTTCATTTTCCTTTTTCTATTTTGGTGAAAGGCAGGTTTACCTGCGTGGGCGCCTTTCCATTCATAAAACAAAAAAAAAAAGAAATCAGATGTGAAAACCACTAAATATAGATCTACTACTTTGTATGAGCTGCAGATTATAATTATCTTGAAACACACTATGGGCAGAAAGATACATTAATCAAATGTTGCATAATATGTATCATAATTTAAAATACTGTTTGTTTACAAACTGAATAACTGTGAGACAGATAGACAGAAACGCTCAATAACTGGGAGACAGACAGATAGACAGAAACGCTGAATAACGGAGAGACAGAGAGACCGAAACAAAATTTGTAAAGAAGCAAGACCTGCCAAGGACACTCCCACCATCCCCTCCCCCGTAATATAAAGTAAATCTCATGAAAGAGGTAGAAAGTTGGGGACGAGGGTGGGGTGGAGTGTCAGAAAAACATATATATATATTATATGCAAATATAAATACTTTTGATAAATGTAAAGATGAGAAATATGACATATAATAATATATTTATATATATATATTTTATGATAAAGAGCAAACGTAAAGGGTGCAGTTTGGGGGACGCGAAAAAAAAGTATTTGTGTGTTTTTGACCACGGAATGTTCATGAAGAAAGTGTCCGTTGGTGTCGGTGCTATGGCTACTGAAGTAAGGAAAAAGTTGGTGAATGCTACTAAATCATGAAACATTTTTTCAAGGAATCTACGCTGTGGATGTTACTTCACTGCATCAAAATTTTTTAAAAATATATATATATATATATATATATATATATATATCTATCTCTGAGACGAAAGAAAAGCTAGGAAACAAAAACAACCTAGAACATAACTGTATATTTGAAACCACTAGATTTCCTTGACCACAAAGCATTTGACTAGCATTCTACAACCCTCTCATAGCAAAATGATTCTTACAACAACAAAAACTAGCAAAATTACAACAACAAAATGTGTAAATAATGGGGGAGGGGGGGGGGTGTCAAGTGTAGCCAGGATAACCGTTAAATCACACGTTAGAATTAATTTACACACAACAAACAGTCCTGTGTAGCGGCTTATCATGCAGTCAAACATGTTAAATGATAGAGTGGAAATATCTCTACACATGAACGACAATGCTTTAACGTTATGACAAAGAGCTGAATACCAGATAAGTTCACTTCTATGTAAATTCATTGATGATGAAATGATAATTTTAAAAAGCCGTGGGTTGCATGTTTACAAAATTAAACAATAAGTTGAGTACATTTTTACACCATCAATAAAGATCAACTTGGATACAAATAAGGCGTGACCCTACAAAAATCAAATTGTCTGAAAACTGTTTACAGAAAGAGAAGCTAGCCCATCCACACAACAACTGCCAGATAGTGCAGGGAAGATGACAGACAGACAGACAAACAGACAGACAGACAGACAGACAGACAGACAGACAGGCAGACAGACAGACAGACAGACAGACAGACAGGCAGACAGACAGGCAGACAGACAGACAGACAGAAACAACAGAAGGAAGGAAAAGAAAAGTAGGACATCAGCGACGCCTTCCAACCAACTACAGCTAAAACAATTTCCAATTTTCAAAACAAATTCTAACAAACCTGCACCACTAGCCCACTACAATCAAAACCGTCATTTTTCAAGTGGTACTCTCATCTTCCCCATAGACAAAGAAAAAGGGGAAAAGTCAATAACTTGAGCCACTTTCTCAACACAGTCATTTATAAACACTCCATTTTCTGAAGTGTCGTACTCCCCCTCCACAGTTCCAAAGTGGACATAATTAGTGATCACAAACAAAAACGGAGAAATTTTAGCAGACATTTTTCCATAAATAATCAAACATAGCCCAGGTCAGACAATGCTCGTCTTCGCGCTGTTCTTGTGTGAGTCACTTCTAGAACACAGAGCTACACAGAGAGTTTCATGCAGTACAACACTACTGTCGACAGACGTCTGTGCATGCACTATAAACATGGTCTATAGGATGCCACTTCAGAACTTCTGAGACATCTGAACCCCAGGAACTCTGGAGAAGTGGCACCGACCGTTACCCGCACCAACTGCTGTGACATTGCAGAGATTCTAACTAGCAAACTTTCAAAAACAACGAGTCACTTCCAAAAGGAATTTCAGTCAGATCAAGAACTGAGATGAGCTGTCACAAAGTGTGAGAGAAGCACATCGACATCACGACAGAGATCCGATATCGGGGGAAAACGTACGACTCTCACAATCAACAGACGGTAAAAAAGGTCGACCCCTATTATCACGGGCACATAGCTAGCTACCCTCAAGCATTTGCTGACAAAGTAGGAAAGATGTGAATTCACAGCACCAAAATACCGGGATGGCACTCAATAAATATTAGGACGTAAAGCAAGGGGATAAAACAATATTCCACAATATTCCCTCATTTAAACAGAGCCATTACCTCCCATGTCAAATAGATCTTTACCAAACACAGCTATGGCTTTCAATAAACCCTCAGAACCCCACAGTAGGAAAAGATGAAAGTGCATTCAAACTGAACAGATTAACTGACCACACTTTCTTAATTCCGAGCCATTTCCAAACAAAACCTTCCAATTTTCAACACAGACAAAGTAAAAGAATATAATATGGCATACGTTAGTACAGAAGCGATTCCCAGTTCTCGAGGTTAGAACCCTATCTCGAGGTTAGAACCCTATCTCGAGGTTAGAACCCTATCTCGAGGTTAGAATAAATCTGCATTCCTTTCTCGTCTGTCTAAGAACTCCAAGAGGGGCTCAGAGAGAATCACAAAAAAGATTCTATAAAAGACTCGCTGCAAAACATTTCTGACGTTCAGCCTCTCATAAACCTTTTTTTGTGATTTTTCTCAAATTCTTGGGCCTCTTGTGTTTTCAATAGTTCATTACTAAGAAGATCTCAGTATACGTACGGCTTCTCACTCAGTGAAATCAGGCACTCGTTGAAACAAAGACATTGAAGAGACCAAAATTCCCATCCATTTGGCAATTATTATCAACACCTTTCCTGCTCATTCAAAAACACACAACAGATCTGTGAGGATTTTACTGAGCAGCTTTGAACAAAGGCACAAACAAATGTTCATTGGCAGTTTCCAAGGACACTCCAGTTTAGGAAATTACCATACTTTGGAAGCCATTTCCTCCCTAACTTTACCTCTGATGCAACGCTACCCCCACCTCCTTTCAGAGCAAATATCTCAACTTCTATTTAAGACTAGATGAGCATTTCTTTTTATCAACATAGGAAAGACAAATGAACAAGAGTTAAGAAGATAAAAATAACATCATAGCCCTAAAATTGACGAGCGCCGGATTCCACTGCATTAGGACACAAATGTATATGTTCTCGGGCAGATAATTAGTCGTTGACATTCCCATTCCAGTACTTGCCCTTGCTCGTCGCCGTAATGCCTTGGCAGAGAGGAAAGCTCGGGTCACTACACATTGGCTCATACAGACGGGATGACAGACAAGACAGAGACACTTAAGTTCCTCACACACAAACAGACACACACACACACACACAAGACAAAAAATGCCAATGTACCTCACACAACACACACACAAACGCCCCACAACACACAAGAAAGCAACACTAACATACCTCACACAAACACACACACACAAACGCCCCACAACGCTCAAGACAATAACACTAACATACATCACACACACTTAAGCACACAAACACACACACACACACACAAAAGAAACTGGGGAGATATATACACACAGTACAGGCATCAGTGACAAGCCAGCCCAGACACAAACAGCCCGACTCACTGACTCAACCACTAGCACAAGCCAAGGGGACGGCACAGACATCTCAGCAACATCTTTGCTACAATATCCATCATCAAACACTCACAGGAAAATCAAAAGTGTACAAATATCCAGATGAAAAAAAAAATAGTCAACAACTTTCATATTCAGAAAGGTATGATTGTAGTCCTGTTTCATATCATGACAGCACTACTCATCAAGAAAAAAAATACGTGTGCATTTCTTTTTACTCGAACAAATCCGCACAAAATACAGAAACAATTTTTGTCATATCAGTACCCATCCTGCACAGGGGAACAATTTTAGGCAGTTGGACAAAAGTGAGGTTGAACTGGCCTAGATTTAAACCTCAACAAAATCTCTACCCTGTTTTAAAACATGACACGCGAGCCAAAAGAATTTTGATCCCATCTACACCTCACTGGAGCTTCAGGGAGCTACCACTTGCATTCAGCTTGTTTGGGAGCTTGTGAGGTTCAATTCTTTCTCTCTGTTTAATTAAAGAGAAAACATTTTATAAAAACTTTCAGTTAAAAAAAATAAAAATTTTAGAACTAGTAGAACTGGCATTCCAGCCTCTAAACTCTCTCTGAACATACAGAAAAAAAAGATACTGTTTATCTTTTTGACCAGATAAGCCCACTCACATTCCTGCTTCTAACTTTGAAACTATTAGAACGAGAACACCCCTCCCCCCTCCTCTCATCCCCCC